AAATTTCTCAAAAAAGAAAAACAGTACAAGCAATTAGTGCAAATTTAAAAGAAAATAAATACGAAAAAGTAAAAAAAAAAAGGGGATACTGCGGGCTCTCCTGAGTCAGCGGGTACAGGTTAATGCACGTGAGGAAGCATATTGCATTTAGTGTTACTGTCATAATTGATAGTTACAATTGTTACAGTGTACATGAGGCGTTCAGGGCAACAACAGCTATAGGAAAAAAGCTGTTTTTCAGTCTGGTTGTTTTTGTCCTTATTGCTCTGAAACGTCTCCCAGATGGGAGCGGTTCAAAAAGATGGTGACCGGGGTGTGAGGAGTCCCCTAAATGCCACTAAAGATAAAAATACTAATAATAATCAGCCCTCCCAACCCTTCACACTCAATTTAGTTAGATATTTCTCCTCTTTAATACCACTTTATGAACTTCAATGTTTACTGATGACTAATTCCTAAAATAAAAAATCCAAATTAGCCTTGAAACCATAAAAAAAAAACAATTTATTTTCCCACTACATGGCTCCTCATAATAGCTGACGTTATTAAGAAATATCATTGCTATATTTGCTGAATTTATCACTTTAAAATGAAATAGCAATATTTATATGAGTTTAAAAAAGCTTACATAAAGGGAGCAGCAGACATCATTAACCCTTAATAAGTAATATTTGCTTTAGATCTTTAAGAGAATAAAACGGTGAAATTGGATTCAGTTTATTTGAGATAAACAATCCCATGTAGGTTTTTTTGTTGTTGTAATTGTTTGTTTTTTTTCTTTTTGTAGAGAGACTGAGAGTCTCCATAAAGACATAACAAGTCTGTTTGGAAATGCCCTCACCCTCTCTCTGTTAGATCCTCATTGTTTGGGGTTTCCTTCACTTTAAGGCAACCATGAAAACAGTGGCTTGTGCCACTGCCAGTAATGGATTTCCACTCTGCAAAAATATGACCTGAGTGAAAGCCAGCTGTAATCAGTGGCTCCTTTCCTCCAGATAAGCTTTTAGCTTCTTGTGGAGGACAATGGCATGGGAAAAAATGGGCCAAATAGGCCACAGTGCAATAAATAAATATATTATTCAATAACAATTACAAAAAATCGTTTACATTTTCCAACTATAAGTTAAAATCGAAATCTAGATAAGGCATTTTTTCTTAAAATAAGTGCATTTGTTCTTGGATTGAGGAGATAAGAGACATTACACCAACGGAACAAGACAATTTACACTTAAAATAAGAAAACACAATTGCCTTGTCTTATTTCAAGTGCATTTTATCTAATTATCTTATTTTAAGAGTAAAAATACTAATTCCATTGGCTAATTATCTCGTTTACCTACTCAAATTAAGATTAAATACACTTAATTTAAGAAATTTTTGCTTATTTCTAGGACGTTTTTCCAGTGTACTAGATGATACTGATGCAAATTAAAGCATATTTCTACCAAAAATATTAGCTGGGCGGTGCATCAAATGTGTCTGTGATACACACTGGAAAAACGATTTAGAAATATGTAAAAATGTCTTAAATTAAGCGTATTTACCCTTAATTTGAGTAGGTAAATTAAATGAT